ACACATGTATATCTAGCTGTTCAAACTTCAACTTGTCATTTGTAGTCGCATATTCTGAAGGCTTTTAATATTCTATTGTTAGACACACACACACATGTATATCTAGCTGTTCAAACTTCAACTTGTCATTTGTAGTCGCATATTCTTTGGTTTTTATGAGAGTTTCAACAAGGCAGCCTCATCCTCTTTTTACTAAAATTATCTTATGGACAAAAGGACTTTTGACCCGACTACTGTGTTCGTGTTGGGATTTACAGTGCCTTATGATCGATGAAGCTGATAGGATTTTGGAAGCAAATTTTGAGGAGGAAATGAAGCAAATCATTAAAATTTTGCCTAAGGTATTAATAGCCAGAGCTAAGATCAGCGGTTTGTTTACATATCTAAAATTTCTTTCTGCGCCAGCTATTGTTCCAACTTTATCTGAGTTAATTCTCTGCCATACCTAGGAGCTGCTTTCTTGAATACAAATATCTTGTTTAACAAATCTATTTTAAGTCGTATTCTGTTCTGCTATCACTGAATACTACGCTAAGGGCTTAATATAATTGCCATGGCGAGAATCACATTCACCTCATAGTTTGAACAATAGAGACATGCATTATACTTCTAGAATTTTCTCATGTGCTATCTACTTTACAGGTGAGACAAACAGCTCTCTTTTCTGCCACACAAACGAAGAAGGTATTTATACTTCCAGAAAATGTTCTAGCTATTATTTTGGGAACACGAATAATAAATCTTTTGAACATAATATAAAGATATGTAGTGCATATATTAAATTATTATTTTGGAAAATATTTCTCCTATACTGTGTGAATGTAATAGTGCCAATCAATTATCTTTAACCTCTAGGATAAAAAAAAGGGTTATTTCTGACTTGATGAAACCTGATGAAAATTTGTATAATTTTCAGGTTGAAGATCTTGCTCGCTTGTCGTTTCAGACAACTCCTGTCTATATAGATGTTGATGATGGAAGGAGGAGGGTAAATAGTCTGCCTCATTTTTTTCTTCTAGGTGATATGATAATGTACAGGACTCACTGTCGATACTAATATCAATAATTATACGGTTAGGTCACCAATGAAGGACTACAGCAAGGCTACTGTGTTGTCCCTAGTGCTAAGAGATTTATTCTTCTCTATTCCTTCTTGAAGAGGAACTTGTCAAAGAAAGTGATGGTTTTCTTCTCCTCTTGCAATTCTGTTAAATTCTACTCTAAACTTCTCAGATACATCCAGATCGATTGTCTTGATATTCATGGCAAGCAAAAGCAGCAGAAAAGAACCACAACCTTTTTTGATTTCTGCAAAGCAGAGAAGGGTATCCTATTATGCACAGATGTAGCTGCACGTGGTCTTGATATTCCTTCTGTGGTATGCTGCTTTACATTTCATGCGAACGGTCCGTTATTTTTCCACATCCCCAACCTTGAAGAAATGAAAGAAGATTAAAAATGGAAGTATTTGGATACGGGCGGTAAGCCAATAAAAGTTACTAGATAACATAGGAAAATTTTGTAAAACTGTGTGTTACAGGTAAATAAAAAAGGGAAATGAACAGCAAGGGTGGAAAGGGCTTTAGGATGATCCAGTTGGGGGTTGTTAAAGATTCAATGGGTTAAGATTTGTATTATTCATATCTCATACAACACTTGCACTGATTGATTATTCTGATCTCTCTTTAGGATTGGATAGTGCAGTATGATCCTCCGGATGAGCCTAATGTGATTTGATCACTTTCTGGATAAAGTTGTTTGCAATTGATCCAATATTTTCAAGCCTCTCTGACATTTGATTGTTTTTTAATAAAATTAGGAATATATTCATAGAGTTGGACGTACAGCCCGTGGGGAA